AGATAGATAGATAGATAGATAGATAGATAGATAGATAGATAGATAGAAGCACAGTTTGATACAGATTTTCCTTTTCTGTGAGATGTTAAATCTAGTATTGGCCAAGCAGGTCTGACACGGCATGCAAAGCTTTATTTATTTTATTTTTTTATTCACATCATATCAAAATTCCCAAAACTCTATCTTTTCTTTTCTGATCTTGATCCAGGGTAAAAACCTCAATCTTATCTGTACTGAAACTTGACCAAGAGGCTGATCATGCCTTTGTGATGACATACACCAAGTGGAAAAGTACAGACCCCCCCCTTTGCTTCCATGAATATTCTCTCCATCGCCGCAGCTATCACTCTTCTTTCATGCGGGCAACCTCAGTGACATCACCCTTTGAATAAGTCTTCTCAGTTTAATTTAATGACTTTAACAAATTGAAAGGCTTCTAACAAGGGAAATCTCTAACTAAAGTTTGTGGTAAGAATACATCAGGTTTTTATTATGAACCAGGGAGGCAACAATACCATCTGTCAGAACCTGAGCATGAGCCACCTGTGTGTGCACACACATATATACATATGTAGGCAGGTTGAGGTTAAAATTATCTGTAACGGAGGTGGGCAACAGTTTTCAGCCTGACACAGAAGATGTAAATATGAGCAATGGGGGCAGAGAGGCAGAAAGCGTTTCCAGGGTAAACAACATAAGGAAGGTGTTACGGTAGCATGATCTGACTGGTGAGGCAGAGGTGGGACACCTGGTTCAAATCTAATCAGACAAACACATTTCTGTCCTTTGCAAATGTTGATATTCTTGGTGTAAAACATTTATCTTAAATAGTTTAATTAACTATCACAGATTTTTGTAAAATTATTGCTTTTAGACTGTTTCCGGAGGAAAGCTTTCTGTTTTTAAAAGAGCATGGGGTACTGTTTTACCAATTCCAAAAAGATTTCTTTGTCTGGATCTTAGCTGCATTTACATGGACCCTTTTATTCCTCTACTAATCAGAATAATAGCCCAATTTGAAGAAAAAGGCCTCACGCAACCACCTCAAACAGAACAGACTAGTCTAATCCTCCCAATCAGATGAAATTGGAATCTCTAAATAGAATAGCCACAATCTAATTGATAAATATTTGTTTATATAAGGAGGGATCTGACTAAAAACTAATTCTTTCCAGGGGAGATTGGCTCATTCTGTTCTGGTGAGGGAAGATTCTTCAAGTATATGCACCCAAAAACAAATTTTTACGTATTAGTTTTAAGGTTCATTTTCTAAATAGTGACTTAAACAATCTACAACATTTTCCCACAGATGCCTAAGATCCACTTATTTTGAGTTCTGAGGGATCTGGATATTGTCATGAATGCATTTCTGAGCATTTGAACCTAGAGTGAATTACATTTTTTTTCTTGGTGGTCTGGGTCTTTTTAATTTCTAGTTTGAAGATTATGGGTCAATTAAGGAAACGAGTTGTCCTGATATGTTTTGCCTTGCCTAGACAGTTCTACCCTTTTTATTTTAGCTCAATTTTGTGGCTGAAATGTCTTCCTTAGAAGACCCGTAGTTCTAAAGATGATTCCAAGGAAGGCCCCCCGAAAAAAGACTGGTGTCTTGAAAAAGGCTCTGACAATTTCATCTTGTAACCACAATATCTCAGCGTCTTTCTGTTCAAACAAACAGACTATTTGGACCTAATTTCAAGTACTGCTGCAGTAGTCTTCACTTTAAACAAAAAAGAACACGTCATTTTAATTCCCAAAATTCTGTCTATTTTAAGGCTTCTGTTATTGATTTTTAGACCCCATGAGCACTTAAATGTAGCAAGAGATCCTCAGTGTCCCACGAGTCTGTCTAATCCCTAGAGATTTTCAGGATTTAACTTTCCTCTATTTAATCTCTTTCAAAGCAGTTTTGTTTAGTTCCCAAGTGTTTTTTTACATATTCAGTTCTATTGGTTGCGTTCTTTTATTATTACTCACTCTCAATATCATGATCAGAATTTTAACATTCGGCACTGTAGTGAGTCAAGAGGCAGAATCTTAGCCTGGCATAGGGATTAATGTGAAATTAAGACTTTCTATGTAATCAAGCATACAGTTTACTAATTAGAGACCATTAAAGATACCAGTGAGTAGATACTGTGTAAAATTGTTAAATCTTCTAAACAAGGCTTGTTAATTGTTAAGACTTAAGGGATTTCCAAACCACTAAGCTTGTGAAATAGAAAGTCTGCACAACAGCAATTCTTCTTTTTTTTTTTTCTCGATAACTTACTTAAAGTTGTTATGAAGCTAAAAATACGAATTGCAAATTTTCTGCCTCTCCCATTTCCAGATGAGCTCAAAAGCCAACGGACACAATCAACACGTCAGCGAACGGTAGTGGTAGTCACAGTGTGGGCCCACTGAACGCATGAACTGCTCACTTTTAGAGCCACTCACCCTGCAATGTGAGGAAATGTCATTTTAAAGCTAGCCAAACCTCTTGAACTCCACCCATGCCGCCTTCCGTGAACACCACCCAGCCTGCACAGAATTTATCTCTGATTTCAAGCTGCAACACATTAAAACTCTTCCTCAGATGACTTCATCATGAAACCAGAGCTGTTTTAAAAGCATCATTAACTATGACGACCCCGGGCTATGTCTGTCATATGGAGTCCTGCTGAGTGACTTGCTCTGCTGTTTGCCTTTCTATGAAAAAAAATGATAATAAAAAGAAAACATACAGCAGCGCTCCACACATTAAAGCATGTGATTGAATGTTTCACTCTCTAAACGTTACATCATTCCACTGCCAGGGTCACTCCTTTTCAGAAATGTGGAGAATTAGGTAGGGCTGCTGACTTTAATCTCAGTTTCAATTACGTTGCCCAAGTTTTGTGTAAGCGGCTCTCGAGAGCCCTCAGACCAGGTGCTGAGGTCAAACCAGAGGCCAGCAGACTGAAGAGTGACAGTTCCCTTTTTGGGAAAGGCTTTCACCAGTTGAAGCACATTCTCCCCTCTGCTCACTACAAATGTTTCCCCCCCTGTCTACCCTCCTAGCAGAGCCCCGTCTCACCCTGACAAGAGCACGCCACTCCTGCCATTCCACTCAGTCAGCTCAACATTTGCTCTTCTGAACCAAGCCACCATGAAGGAGTGGCAGGGGTCATCTTCCGACTGGTTGCTTCCCCCCCCCCCACCCACCTTTCCCAACTATGACCATTCCACACTTGTCATGCCAGCAGTTGGGGGGTTTAAGAAGCACAGCACCAGAGCTCATCTGTTCCATCCAGCTGGAACCTGTGTGACAACTGCCTCTCTCTGTTTGGGAAAGAGGAGGAGAAATGAGTGAACACTCTTACTCCTGGACAGACAACCCTAGCGTGAGGATCCAAAGCTGATCCTCTCATCCCATTCTAGAGCTCTTTTTTTTATTTGTCTTGTGGTTCCTCCACTGGGACAGAGCCCAACACCTTAGGGCTGAACCTGTTCTGCACTTCAGAGTGGAGGTAAGGGAGAGGCAGTTTGGGTGTGTGTGTGTGTGTGTGTGTGTGTGTGTGTGTGATTCAGCTTAGGATATTACCTCATGGCGGATAAGCTGTGATTGAAGAGGTCTGACAGAGGTCTCTGCCTTTCACTCCATTACTCTCAGCCTCTTATCAGGGCAGGTTTTCTGTTCGGGTTCAGAGAGGAAGCTTTGACAGCCAGGCTTTACAGCCCCCTCTCTGCTCCCCGCTCTGTCGCTCCTGACAGGGAGAGAGAAAGAAAGTCAGAAAGAGAAGGTGGTGACTTCATCCCTTCTCCTAACAAACCCTCCTCTTTCCCCCTCCTTTTCGGAGCTTTTTTTTTTTTTTTCAAGAGTTTTGCGCAGCACAGTCCGGCAGCATGCCAGCAGTTTTCATCTTGCTGCGGTCCCTGGTTATCAGGCTCCTCAGTAGCAGACTGGCAGGCTCACTGGCACAGTTCCTCAGGAGAAGCCTCTCGACGGGTGCTGCCCACCTTGGCACAGCATTGCGCCACATCTGGGACCGCGTTCGATCCCAGGAGTCAAAGGAAGCCATCCTGGGCTGTGTGCTGTGCATTCTCAACATGCACAAGAAGGTGGAGAACTGAGCTTTTCCTTCACTTTCTGTTCCACCCTCCACTTGCCTGCTGAACACCGACCGGACAGCTGTTTAGTGAGGAGGGGACTTGAAGGGATGTAACAAACTTTTTTTTTTTTGTGCTTATTTGGACTTTAATCATTTTGTTTTCTTACATTGGACATTGGTCATGTCAGAAAGCATTGTGAGGAAGGTGCAGCCCTTCACCATTGGGACAAGGCTGTCAGTTCCCCCTGTGCCAAAATGCCAGGAGTTTACACAGGGTTATCTGCCCAGCGATACTTTGGATAACTGCGTCTTACAGCACAACTTGAACTCGCTCTACCTCAGTCGATCCCAAGTCTACGCACATGGCCCCTGTCTCGCTGCACCGATTGTGGAGCAGGCAGCCCCCGTGAAACACAATCAAGAGCACATGGCAGCAGAGGACCACTTGAACCAGAATGTTGCCTCTCCCTCTGCCGTCTCCAGATCTATTAAGAAGATCACAATCTCTGGGAGTAAAGATAGATCAGAGAGCAAGATGTTGGAGGTATCAGCAAAGCTCTGCGGCACAGGCTCCTCATCCGAAAACAACAATAACAACAACAACATCACCACAGGCACATCAGATCCACATCTGCCCAGGATTGTGGGAGTAAGCTGTGAGGATAAGCCAAAGTCTCAATTTAAGGTAACAGCACTTCACTCATTAAAACAATAACAAAATAATACCTACCTTTTTGTGATTTGTTCAACTTTGCTGTTGGATTGAAGAACTCACTTTTTTAACATGAATTGACTGTACGGTACATATATTAAAACATTGGCCAACTAAAGTAGGTAATCCTTTCTTTAACTTTTCTGTTAAAAGAAAACCAGAAAAACAAGAAATATATATCTAAATATGACAGAAAAAGCATTTAGTTTAAATGATTAATATATAAATAAATATGCAGACAAATTGAACTGACAAGTCCTACTTTAAGGCTTTTTGCTTGTTACAGATTCATATTATTTGTAAAAGTTTATAGAAAATTAGAGATTATTGACAACATCAAAGGTAACAGTCAACAGCTTGGAAAAAATATTTTAGCTCCTACCTGGTGTTTACTTCTTACTTACTTCTTAGGTTTTACTCAGTACGGACACCAGTGATGAATTGCTGCCCTCACAGAGACTAACCAGGGCCAAACTACTCGGGAAAAAATCAATACAGGTAAAAAGAAAATGGCTGATGTGGTACTATTACATGTATTACTTATATGTACTATTCTGCTTTACTTCTACGTATTTTTACTCTCTTTTGCTTTCATAAGATTTATACCCAAAGTTAAAACCAAAATACAACCATAACCAAATAATTTTCTCTGTCTTACGTGGTTCCTGGTATGCAGTTCTATGGCTTCAGTTTTTTCTTTTTGACACTTTATAGTTCATAAAAGAGTGATAACTAGAGAAAAAAGTGTAAGCTAGCACGTTCTTTCTAAATGATTAAATCTTTGGATTGGGCTGTTCCTTGCTAAAGTCTAAAGTGCGTGTTGTGGATGAAGTACTCGGTTACAGCAGACCTCGAAGAGGCAGGGCTCACTGGAAAACATGAAGTCAGGGAAGATGTTAACAAAAGAAAATGCTTACTGAGGTCCTTATGAAGGCTGGTTATAATAACACTGACACAGCACTGGCTTCAATTCCATTCAAAACAGTCACCCATCACGTCATCTTCTATTCTTTAATAATCGTATGTTGTTATCAAAAAATAAAGTTTGAATTACAGTGATGCCTTCACCTGTGGAGGCAGCCAGAGCTAATGTGTTCTGCCAAGGTCCTTTAAAGCTGATATATTTACATATAAAGCCAAAAAATGTCAGACAGACCAGGATCTGTTCCCTCCTGCTTCCTTCTCGTACCCAGATGTTTCCTGAAGGGAGACGGACTGCAAAGCATGTCCATTAGTCAAGTTGTGCCAGTCTTGCTCATGTCAACTCACATGGTGCTGACAGTAAGTTTTTGTTATGAGTGACCTTGGGGCACTCTGCCAGCCACATGTTTGTCTTTAGATGGTAAACAAAAGGGTATAATTAACATGAATCACATGTGAGGTGATTATAGTCTGGAGAGCTGTGTGTCTCGCTGATATAGTGCAGGAGTCTCAGTAAGAGGCAATCATCATTTGAGTTCTCTATTTAGGTTTGTCTGATGGGGTCAGTGATGGAGCCAAACTGCAGTCTGGTTTTAAGCGCCGTGTCCATGCTGTCCCCTCACGCAGATTTCAGTGCCCGAACTGCAGAGGGAAGACCCTGAGAGCAAAGAAAGTCATCTGCACGCACAGGCTGAAGTGTTGGCAGCTGCGGCACCTCAGAGCGACTGCTTCACTCAGCGCACCTCCCTCTTCAACAGGGAAATAATGCAGGTAAAAAAATGTGGGAGGCATTCGCAATATTCAGAATGTGCATATTTGCAGGCAAAGGTATTTTCAGGTATTTCAAACTTTATCAAGTGAGCTGTTTATCCGCATCAAACCCTGTCCGCGGGCAAATAGGAAAAAAGTCGAAAGAATGGTCAAGATGCTGTTTTGAGGCCATCGGAAAGGACGCTGCCTGTCGCGTGACCCTCCAATGAGAGCAAAATATGTACTGGTTCTTATTTTGTCTCAAGAACTGTGTGAGCTGTGTTCAGCTGAGGGAGGAGAGGGAGGGGAAGCCGCCACAAGCAATTATTTAGGGATGAGATCATTGTTTGGCTCCATGTCTTCACGCCTATGGCTCAGAGAGACTCAGCCAAGCAGCACAACTGGTTGTGTTATCTCATTGCTGCGTCCACCCCGGCTCACATGGACATTTTTCTGCAAGTTTGGCAGAGGGACATTTTGTCCAGCAGTTGGGTTTGTCATCAGAGCTCGGTTGAGCAACCATCCAAGTGATAGGCCATTTGCTTCCAAACACAAGAATTTAATTTGAGATGTGTCAGCTGAAGCAAACGTGACGTATGGATGTGTTGAAAGCAGGCCTGTAGCACGTTGTTAACATTAACAAGCTCAGGAGCCCTTCTGCTCTTTAAATGGTGCCCTCTTGTATCCAACCTTTTTTGAGAATGGGCTTTAAATAGCTGGAGGGTTTGGTGTCCAGGGAGCAGCTTGTTTTACAGTGATTTGGTTGACTGCGATTATTGATGAAAATATGTAATTACAGTTTTACATTGCGATGAAAGTGGAAGTGATTTTTCCAGACAGAGGCTTTTAAAGGCCCCTAATGGTTAAGGCTAAGAGAGCAAAGCAGGTCACCACATGGAGAAACAGGGCTTTGTGTAGATCCATCCGTCTCCACGGCTGCTCTGCAAAATATCTTGCCTTTCACCGGTTTGTTTCCATGATAGAGAATGTAGAGGAACTTCAACTCCCTCTGTAGTGTCAGAGCCAAGTTGCATTACTAAGGATACAAAAAAGGGGAAAAAAGCATGTTGACCAGCATTTTTTAAAGTTTTCTTTAGAGCAATCTTCCCCTGGTTAGAATTTAAAATGCCAAGAATTTTTTTGTAAAACAAGAGAATAAACAATCATCTGAAGAGAGAATGTGTTTTGCTTGCAGATTAGATTGATTTGTAAAAGTAGATTAAAAAAAAGTCATTTGAAAAAATATACTGCTTTAATTTCCATTTTTTAAAAGTCTTCTACGATGATAATTTTGAGCCGCATGCTTCAGCTGTCTGTTTCTTGAGGCCTTCAAAAGGCCCTACTGTAGGTTTTCATAAACAGACCATTGTTGTAGAGAGTTGACAGGAAGAAACAAGGGAATCATAGACTTCCTGCATGAGATCATTATAATGCCATGGGAGCCAGTGTGAGCAGATATGGGCAGGCCTGTTTTGTCAAGCTCTTTTCCTTCTGTTCAAACCAGAAATACCTCTGCTACCCGGGGGCCTCATAAAGTTAATGACCTCCTTCTCTGGGGAGAAATGACATCACATGTTAATCGAGAGCGAGAAGTTGTTTGGTGGACATGTCACATGCAGTCTTGACGTTTTGTTGATTCAAATTAGGGTTATTGTCGGCCGTTCCTCGAAAAAAAAAATCCTTGAGTAAAATTGCTTTGATGTCATAAGTTCTTAATTGTGTGATTAGTTATTTGACAATTTTGCGCTGAAAAAACAAAAACCAAGCAGACTTTTCCTGATTTTATCATGTGAATGACTCATGGAGGATCAGTTTGACAGGTTAGGGAATGAACCTGATTCATAAATCCCTTCAAATTTCACAACCTGGGCAGCTCATTAATTCCCACGATGTGTTCTTTTCACAAAATAAACACGCACTTTCAAAGTCTTTGTGATTTTGGTCACCCGGCTTGGCCCTCATGCTCTATATAAGACTCTGCCAGAAAAGGCAGCTCTGCAAGACAAAGCCTTATGCAATGAGGTCCAGGGCTTTGCCAAGAGAAACCTCTGCTCCACTGTAGACCAAAGTGCTGTTCTTGATGTGCCTGAAGCTCTGTAACACTCTAAAGCAGGGTAACATAGGATGAGCTTCGAGGATGAAAACTCACATTTTTTGCTCAGAGTAAAATCTACAAAATTCTGCAGGAAAGAAATGACTCATTTGACATATTGAGATTCAGTTCACACCTCTTTGATATATCAAGCCTAAGAGGACCTTGTGAATACATGCTTCCTACCTTAGTCTTGTAATAATAGTCTTTTATGATAGTAATATCTTAAATAGTTTTGTCTGTGTCTGTTTATGGGATAGGCCGAGGCATGGATCAAAGGAAAGCTGCAGGACCTGAAGGATGGATGCAATATTCAGTACTGCCCCCTGCAGGACTGGGAGGAAGCATCCCAAAGACTTCAGAGGGACCTCAAGGACTTTGAAAATACACTGATCCAACTCAACCAGGTAACAAGTTTATTTAACAGAAGGCTGTATGGTCGTAATGTAAATATCACAGAGTTACCAGAACAAGCACATCAAAGTACTCCCAAAATGAAAATGTTTATTTTAACATTTTAATACATAATGTCCATTTGGATGCAACCATTTATCACTGTCACTGCTGCTATATGGGTCTGTCACATTGGATAATGCGTAGCATAACGGTGTTCAGGGCACCTCCAGGCAAGAGAAAAGCAGGCCTTCAGTGTTCCAGACGGCTCTGTCAGGCCAGGAGAAATGTTTGGAAATTGCATAGTGGTCATAATTAATCTCCCTTGACGCAAAGAGGGCCAAAGAAAGAACTGGGAAATGTTTCAAGGGTGTACCCAATACATGAGTGGAAGTTTGAAGTGTTACATGTGTCCCTCCACTGTTCTGCGTTGGTCCTCCTGTTTCATCTGTGCCACAGCTCACATAAACAATGTCTTATTATTTCAAAAGATGGGTGAGCAGTTGATCTGCAGGCTGAACCCCACATCTGATCTGGTGAAGAAGCAGCTCAGCCAGCTCAGGGACCAGTGGCAGACCCTAAAACAGATGGCTGCAAATCAGACACGAGCCTTAGGAGGCGCTAAGAGCTTGCACGAATTCAACAAAAAGGTGGACAAACTGGAAGCATGGATTAAACAAAAGGTAAAAAGCATTCCTGCGTTCAGGTTGACTGGAATAAGTAAAAGTACAAGTACTTTTTTATAAGAAATGCAGTGATATCATTTCATTGCAGCAATGGTTCACAACCCATGTTAAGCTTTGTGGAAAAGGAAACTCACACCCAATTTTTTTCTATTGTAGTAGTATTTATATATCTCATGTCAGTGGAGGAATTCATCCCTGAACTGCATTCCATTTTCAGATCCAATGAATGTGCACTAGCTCTTTGTCTTAAATCTTTTCATTTCTCTTTTCATTTATTCAATTTCATCTAAAAAGAAAAAAGGACATACAAAATAGTAAATATATTAGTATTCACTCCAACTGTGAAAATGATTCCCAAAACATTAAGTCCAGAGGCAAATCTGGGTTGCCAGACAGTCTAATCAACAGATTTTGACAATTGGCACAAAAACAGCATTTGTGAATACAGGAAATTATCTTGAACATTTCTTGCTGCGTGTACTCACTCGACTAAAACATCTGCCTGTCTTTTTTTTTTAAATCATCAAGTGTATTTTAGGCCTGTGTTTATTTCTCTGTTCCCGTCCGTGTCTGACACAAAGGAAAAAGCGACTGATAATGTACCTGGCGTAATGTAATGGAAGACTTTGAGAGAAAAAAAAAACATCTATCCTTGAAATAGATGGATTCTCCATGTAGTTCCGCCTCATCCTTTTACTTCAAAGTTCCTGTCGTCATGCTGAAAGTTATTTCTGTTGAGTATCCTCCTCAGTAGCCGTGGTGATGTGGTTTTTATCCTTCTGCCTCTGAAAAGAAATAGTGGTTGGGTTCTTTACAAATGGGGGCTATAAACACTGCCTTTTATGTGTACCAGCAGGAAGAGGAGCAGTCTGTGGTGGATGTCCTGGGGGAAAATGTGGACAAGATGCAGTTGACCAGGAGAATTTTAGATCTGAAACAGGTGAGTCTTGTAAAAGGTTAATCATTAATAAGTAACATAACACTGAAAAAAACCTGACTGGCTTAACAACATTCTCCAAGAGCAACAAAAAAAATAGTACTCTCTCATGTATTAATGGCACCTTTTACAATTCGGAAGAAGAGAGCAAATTGTCCCTGAGGACATACAGTATAGACAGCTGAGGTCACGATGAAATTATGTCCTTCTGTCTCCCTCCAGGATGAGCAGCAGAATAGAAACCTGCATGAGGAGATCAACAACTTAGCCTTAAAACTGGAGAAACATGGGAAGACAGATGGCAAAAACATCTCCAGTAGGAGAAAGCACATCAATAAAATGTACGCTTTGCTCCTTAACTTTTTTTACTGCCTGAAACACCTTCATTCTGAGGACTGAATGGTAACACTCTTTCTTTAGGTGGCTTAAGGTTCAGCCCCATCTGAAAAACTACCATGAAAATCTTCATCTGGCACTTGAAGTGGCCTCGTTCTACCAGCAGGCTGACAATACGATGTTTGCCATTACCAACATGGTAAATTGCCTGAAACCTCAGTAAAAATTTTTTAGAACAAGTCATGAAATACATTCAAAGCTCATCATTTCTATCAGAGGAGGAGCGTATCTGCATCCAAAGAGCTGGAGAGCTGCGGCGACAGAGAAATACGAGACATCGCGGGTCAAATCATGGTGAGAATAGTCCTTTAAACTCCAGCAGAACTGGCACATCCTGAAATGTGCTGCAGGAGCCTTCTCTGCCTAACCTACGGGCCTGTGTGTGGTAGATGCTAGATGTAAGTGTGTCCCAGCTGTCCAATCTCCATCCGGCTCTGGCTGCCAGCATCACACAGAAGCAGGGTGAGGTAAAGGACTGCTGGACCCTTCTACAGAGGGATTTCAGGTACGTCAGTCGGATAACACTGACCCAGAATACATGCCCCGTTACACTCAGTAATTGGTCCTTCACAGTTTCCACTGCAGTGAAGAGGCATTTCATATGTTTACTACATGAAAAAATATACACTGGCAAAGAAGTTAGAATATTTGGTTCATTACAGATTGAACCAAAGTGCTGGTTTTGAGCACTGTTCACCACCCACTTCTCTGGGCTTCTTTGGAATTTGGACCACTGTAATAGGTGAATAATGTCTGGAGACATATCAAGTTGGCATCGTGGTTTGCCCTCTTCTCACTATTAAAATTCTGACATCATCTGACATAGACTGCTGAATTGGAGAAAGAGCATATTTACAAGAATATTTACAAAGTTTTATGGAATTTGTAAAACAATTTATGGCTACTTTAATAGCAAGCATTAAGCATGCAGACTTTTTAATCATTAGACTTTTTAGACCATCAGAACCAATGTCAACCTAATGTGTGCCACCACAGGTAATGACTGTGTTAAAATTAGAACCCAACTTCAAAAACAAATGTCAATTCCGATTCTTAATTGGCATCGTTTTCATATAAACTGGAATTTGTGACAGACCTACAGCACACACAGTAAAATTATGTATTCCTAGAAATTATATTCTGGGGACTATAAATATTCATAGCCAATTTGATATCAGGCCAGTTGGTCAAAGTTATGGACTGGTCTGTGGATAATATTACATTTCCTCACTCTGTCTGGTTAAAAAAAGAAAGAACGAAAAAAAGGACTGGAATCACTCATAGTGATATAGTAATAAATAAGGGTGAGGAGTAACTAAAGTCTACAGTTCTGACGTCCATCTCCAGCATTTCTAGCCCCCCAAAAATTTCTCAGGCTGAGAGCCTCTGTGGCAGTGGCCTATATTTAGATCCAAGTATTAAACGGCACAGTATCTCTGCTATCTGCTACATTCTGCAACTATTTTGAATCAAGTAATATAAACACTGGCATAAAAGCCTCAGAACCATAACTGTTGCTCATCATTGGTCTTGGAGGCCCTGCTGTCAGCACCACAGTAACCTCTTGCTCTGCTCACCCTCCAGGAGTGACAGGACAACACTCTCCCTCCCTAGCTCCACTTTCACCAGGGAAGATGCTGACCTCCTGACACCCGCCCAAGAAGCCCAGTGCAACATGGGAACTGAGACACATGTGATCATGGGAAAGGAGGTGAAGGAGGAGCAGAATCGTCTGAAAGGCTCTGTGGTAAGTGGCATTGGTATTTCACTGTGGCTTTGGAGGAAGAGAGAGCAACTCCATCGGAGTTGGCAAGAGATGAGATCAGTCTGTTCCAGTCCTACGAAATCTGTGGCTGCAGAAAGTGACGCACTTTGTCCTTTGGTTTGGAAAATGCCTGATTTACAACTTAAGAGGGTGTTTTCCAAAATACACTACGAAAAATGAGCTGTGGAGACAACACGCCGCTTGTTTTCCGGCCTAGCAGCTTATTAGTTGTGCTCAAAAGCATCATCTAATGCCCCAGTTTTGAGGAATCCCTTTATAACTTGGTTAGGATGTTCCAGCTTGACTCTGAAGCTCAGAGAACAGCTCTCTGTTTCCTGCTGATCCTCTCCATAACTAATAAGATCCCCAGTCTCCAAACGTTATAAATATTACCCTGTAAGAGCCACGGGAAGAACTTTAGGAGGTGTTATTTGTCCTGGCACAAGAGCCACAGAAGTTTTCATTAAAAATGTCAAGTCGTGACTATTCAGCATGGTCATAAGTGGGCCAGAATAAACAGGTATTTCCCTCAGACCCAGAATTTCACTTTAAGGTAGAAAAATATATTGGACTAAAACCACAATTAAAAAAACCATTGTTATATTCATACTGTATTAATAGAAGGTCTGTAGTTCAACTGAGGGTCACTGAACAATCACCAGAGCAAATAAACTGTTTGGACATGCCATTCCTCATCTTTCGTGCTGAACTGAAACTTCATTGAACACAGTGGCGCTCCTACAGTAACACCATGAGTGCCTGCAAACCTATAAGGAAATAGTTGTGGCATCTTTTGGGAAACTGATTATCCAGAAAGAATGTGATGTGTTCGAAACTAGTAATTATGTGTATATTTAGTTTCTCAAGTTTTTACATCAAATGTCTTTATAAATCTTAAGTTAACACACAGTTGCTTTTGGTGTTCAGGTCAAATTTAGCCAACAATGCAATTTTCTTTCCCCCCCTGGTTGCTTCAAAAATTCCCACTAGGAATTTAGAAGCATTTAGGGTAATGAAAAACTGCCTGGTTTCTCTTTTGGTCTGCTTTAGTCACTGGTTTATTTTGTTTCCCTGCTTTTGTCACTGGGCTCCTACTGGTCCTATGCCCTCACTACCTGTAATAAAAACCCATCAGACTAGTAGACACTAAGACACCGCCTTGAGAGTATAGTCTTTATTGCACTGGGAGCTGGGAGTTGCCTAGATGTACTGTCTGTGGGAGACTCACTTGTTACTATTTATGGAGGGGTTAATAAGACACTCCAAAGAAAGCCCTAGAGGCCTAAGTCCAAAGTCAAAGCCAAAGCGCAGGCACTAGTTCAGCAATGAAAGTCATTTGTCACGTATTTTTTCTGCTCCCAATAGCGCTGAGTAGATTTGATCAGCTTATATGGTCCCGAATTTGGCTGTGCAGGGCTATAAAGTGCTCAGACTCTGAGACATGTGTATATGCATGTATCAATGTATCTTCAGGGGCAAGCACACACACGTCCAGTATTTTCTGTTTGTAGCCTAAGCGTACTTATTCAATACGATTTGGTTGATAAAACCGAAATGTTTTGGTGCACGTGTGCACATTAGTGCGGGTATCACACAGTAATCTATACATCACAGCCAGCCTGTTCGCAGTAGTACGGCCTCTTGTTTCTAGAGGTAAACATGGCTATCGTCTGTTACTCTGGCTAATTGCAGCCAGATGCTTCGGCTGGAGACCAGATGGGCTTGGTGCTAAGTGATAGTTCTTGGCTGACATCACTTCAGAGCACACTGCAGAAAGATGCACACAGGGAAGGAGATCAGTAGAGAACAAATAGAAAAAAGCAGTACCCAAATTGGTAAATACAGACTAAAATTAGCCGTTGGGTTTGACATTATTAGTGGTCTAAATTAGGGTTGATACTTCATATTTTTGGATATGTTTATACATTCAACATGATGAAGCAAATCATCATGAGTTGTTTAGAATAGAGGCCACTTCATAGAGTGAAGCACAGAGGCAAATGTCTGGGAAAAGGACATCAGCTACAGATGTAAGATTAATTCTGAAAGTTGGTTTGGATATGAAAGATCTCATAATAATTATCTACCATACTATAAAACACTAGTGTATTTATAAGTATATTATTAGAAACCCTTATACTTTACAGTGTCTCTTGTGCTCTATGAATTTTTTTTTTCTTGAAGCTAGGTCAGCATGGTTGAATTAAAATGACTTTGATTAAACAGTTGTCTGTTTTGTGCAGTGTATATATTTTCCCCTATATATATATTCCTATCTTACTGAAGAGGAGGGGCAGGAAGATATGACATGTAAAACTGATTATTTATCATTGAAACACTTTCATTAAAGTTTAGAATAATTATTGTTTGGCATAGGGAGAAAACCTTACCAGTACAACTTGATTAAGCACAAACATAACAATGTAAATTATTTTAAAAAATGCAGCAAATATAAAGAACTAAATTAAAGAAGAACATAATGAGATTAGAATTGGAACTAAAGGATAAATTGAAGTATCAAACATCTTTTCTTTTTGCAACCTTGTTTCTGATACATGACAGTGTTCTAAGTGACCCCTCAGAACAGAATGTGCAGATTTAAAACGCCTGCTGTGATGATGGTCTTCATTTTTATCTGTAATATTGAAGTAGAGCAGACATCGTTGCAGCCTCTTCTTATCTGATCTATGAGGACAATGTTCAGCTTAAGAGTGAATGTGAATCTGTTGCCAGGGATAGACCTCTTGCAGCACAGTGCCGGGAAGTCTCGTGTCTAAGTCGCCTATTTGTCAGTGATGTTGGAAATATACACAGGCCTTGCTTCTTTGGAAGTACAAACACAATATTGTATTTGCACTGCAAATACCATTTTTTAACAGAAGTAAGTAGATGTCCGGTAATGAAATGTTTACTTAAATAAAAGCATGCAAGGAGAATGAGAGAATTGTGAATGAATTATAATTCACCACCACCCACGTCCCTCCAAGGATCCTTAAGCTGTCTCAGGTTTGCAGCTTTATGTTTCTTTCTATGTTTAAACCACCAGCCAACACTGTAGTCCAGAAACATGGAGCTCTCATTGGAAAACCCTACCGAGAGTCCTCTGGCCAACCTTTTAAGCACTCAAAGGGTTGTAAAACTAGCTTAGTAGCTGTTGACTTCTTGAATTTATTTCTGCACAAAGACGAGGTCTATAGCTGTGGTATTGACCTTGCTAAAAACTCCACAGCATAGTTCTAACAGTTGGATTGGAAGGTCATGGAAATCACTGTCTAATGCTGAAAAAACACAGCTGTTTTAATGAGAGCTGGGCAGAGGGGATTTAAAATGGGTTGTATTTCATCTACAATGGTCCTCTTTCATCATCAGAGTAGTATAACACATGTTAGGAGACTTCACGTGTTCATTCATAAAGTTACTTTTATCCACTCCAACTTTAGCTGCCATCTTGAGTATTTTCATCATGAACTTTGGTGCTGTTAAACAGAGAAGGCCTATTTCCTCAGCTTGTTCTGGGTTGTTTGACTGAAAGTAGCCAACCTTTGTTAGTATGCGTCATTTAATGGGGAAACTTTACTCCGGGCAGCTGTTCATATTGTCCAGCCTGCAGTCATGTGGTTGCACTCACACTAGCAGTGAGCACCAGAAACACCTCCCAGTCAAAGAGGATAATATCCTTCTTTCTCAACATTTGAATGATGTTTTTCCACTTTTTCTATGGACCCCTTTTCGTCTTATTTTCCACAGAGCATTGTCGACTGTGGGAGTGGCAGGCGGACTCAGAGCAGCCGCAGCCAGGAGCAGCAATCAGTGAAGCCCACCTCCTCGTCAGCGGGAGACGGCTCATTCTCAGCAGTCGGTGCCACTGTCAGACAACAACTGAAGGGGGAAAGGTGTCAATGGAGCTCTCTGTCTGTGACTCACATAATGACAAGTCTTTATGTAAATCGTAATTGGACTCATATGTCTGTGTCGTCTTTGCAGCAGGAATCCGACAGCAGAGCTGAGGCTCGCCACCACCACCACCACACGAGGCCACCCACAGCTTCATGTACAGCTTCAGAAGTTCACTGTGTCTGCTGACAAGGTGCCTGACCTCCTGGCTTAGACTGAACAACATATCTTGACATGAAAATCATTCATCTTTAGTCAAATTGTATCTTTAAGCTATGTTAAGAATGTTTTTTATGATAAACCCTGTTCATATTCAAATTAATTTTCCTTCCTCCAGTAATGCTCCACCAAATGTTTAATCTTCTTGCATAGTCTCAAATATATACGTTAGCCAGCAGTGTACTGCCTTCCCCTTATTCCTAGAAGCTGTATCCCACTAAGTTTATAGATCAGGCTGTCAAACATCCCCTGGGTCCTGGTCAATGTGTTTCCTGTGGCTTAGGCAGCGAAATGGCATCGGTAGGGTGGCCTTTACATTGTTCATTCTTTTAACCTTTTTTACCCTTTCTCTTCTTTTCGTCTAAGACTTTGTCCTGGCTCAAAGAGAATGTGTCCATAGCAACGCAGGTGTGTTCAATAGCCAGCTTTGAGGGTCTGGAGTCCGCCAGGAGATGTCAACACACTCTTGAACAAGATATCCTTAACAACAGAGCCAGGATCGAGGTGGTCAAGAGGGTAAACTGAGACACATCGTCACATTCACAGATTCTCGTAAAACATATGCACTGGACAAATGAAAAAAAATTCCCCTGAACACAGAATCTTGGCAGGTCTTTTTATATCAAGCAAATAATGAGCTGACGTGTCATGTAAGAGAGCTGTACTTACCCAAAACGTCAGATTAGGTTTATCACATAGCTTCCTTTCCAGTTGTTTCTCATCACATGCACTCATGGGTTTCAAACACCTTCCTCAGGAGGGCCACGGGCTGGTGCGTGCACAGCACCCAGGCAGTGCAAAGATTGAGGAGTTTCTCAGCCAGCTGGAAGTCCTGTGGGAAGAACTGAGGAGGAGGCACCAAAGGAATGCCGTGTTTCTGCAGGCCTCAGAGGAGCTGGGATTTCGGGTAGGATTCATAAAATTTCTCTGAAGAGATTCTCCTCTTAAGTCATGCTGTTCTAGGAGGAATTTTATGGTCATGACAGGTATTCTGGATCAATTCTACCACGGTTAGAGCTTTTATACAGTGCCAGAACTTGGGTTGTATGCTTACCATTATAGTTAGACTCACTAACTTTGATCTTTACTGCCTTATTTGGCAGAGTCTTTAAGGCATTTTCACAACAATATATAATCTAGTTATTATAAAGTGTGCTTCCTTATAATTTGATTATTAGTTGGAAAGAGGTTGTAATTCCAGTTTGATGACTTTAAGATGTTGGTCAAAGCACTGCCTTTTTCCATTAAGTGTAACTGTTTAGAATAAAATCAGGGAAACCTCCATTCTATGGAAAAATAGTGTGCAAAACAACAACCTCTCCACCCCTGTTCTGCACAGATTGTGAAAGTGCTTCAAGCTCTTGGCAGCCTAGAGGCCTGGTTGGAGTCTGTGGAGCTTGCCATGAAGGAGTCTGCGTTAGCTGGTGATCCTGAAACAATGAGCATGGCTGAGAGGGAGAGCTGTCTGTTGGAGAAAGAGGTGGCAGCACGCAGCCTGGAGCTCAGCGCCCTGAGGCAGGAGGTGGACCGCCTCCACGGCCACAGTCACCCACATACGCGAGGTCTGCCAGCACGCATGGAGGAGCTGGAAAGCAAGTAGGTTTTCAAAAGGAGAAGTAAAGGTCAGGGTTGGCCCCCTGATGTTTGCCATCATGGAAGATTTACGTTATGGATGTGAACAATCAAACGCAGTCGACTTTTGCCAGTCACTGTTGTCAGAAAATAAAGTATGTCACTGTTTCCGAGAGGTCCCAGGTTTGGGCTTGCCACGTTTGAAATCCAACATGGAAGAGTTTATTCATAAAATTGCCAGTTCATATTTAAGGCAAACAATTTCACCCCATAAACCACAAATATATAAATATCCCAAAAAACCCATAAGTTAGCATTTTATCCAAGTTGGCAAAAAATATTCTCCGTGTGCTCATTAACTGCACAGCTCAAGTTTATTCAGTCTTGTGCCATGCAGCACTTACAGAGGTCTACCCCACAGTTCTGACATTGACCTCACCCACAGCTTGTCAGCATGCTTCAGAGTCACCCGTTCCTTGTTTGGAAGATCACGCCTCTCTCTTTGGTCAGCCCATAACGTTCAGGTCGTTTCCAAAGGACTTTTAGTAAAACCTTATTATGTTGGCTGCTTTACTGGACATACCTATGTCTATAAACAGAAGTTCAGACTCTGTAAAGAACACAAAGTTCACCAAAGAAAATAAAGGCACGGAAATGTCTCCGTTTAAGTGTTTCCAGGGTGGGGGTGTATGATGGGCCAGAGATTCCCTCTTGTGCAGTCTCAGGGACCATTGGTTCAGGTAGTGGTGCTCAAAAAGCAGCTGTATGGCACTTGGTATGATGTCATTATTTAACACTACAAAGAGGCAACTTAAGGCTCATTTATTCCAGAGAAAATACGAGTTCAAACTGATTCTTTTATATGTAAACTCTGCACAGATGAAGTACATTTGTGCCTTGAAGTGCAGGATATGTTTATGTGACAGATGATATACATTATGATTACATGACAGCACTGTTGCACGGTAACAGCGGCTGTGATGTGGTTCTCCTGAGGGATGCAGAGTTGTATGTGCGTGTGAGAGACAGTTTCGGTGGAGCATCAAGTTATAACAATGGTGTTGATGGCTGTGTTTCACAGGTACCACCGTGTCCTGAGTGCCCTGAACCAGCAGAGCTCTGAGCTGCAGGACACACGCATGCTGACTGAGTTCTTGGAGCGTGTGGAGCTGGAAGAGAGCCAGGACCTCGGTGACCAGTTCAGCCTCGGTCAGGTGAGAGAAACATCCAGCAGGAGGTGACGTGACAGTGTGTGATGATGTGATGGAGAAATGTTCTCCTCTAGAGATGGAAGGTTTAGTTTTGAGGCTTTGATGAATTTGTCTGCCTTGTTTTGTGCAGCTGAGACAACACTCTGATTTTGAGCACTTAGAAATTGATTCAAATCCGATATTTTTAAAAAAGAACAATACCTGACCACACTTTTGCCAATAAATGGCTTCACAAGCCATGATGAAAAGTTCTAGTCAAGTGGCATTCTACATGGGACATCAGAACCGTGTAAGAACAGGGGAATCTTTACTTAAGCTGACCACCCACCTAACAGTTTGACTAATATCTCTGAGAGCATTTTTTTATTAAACAGTGTTCAACAGACAATATAGCCCTCAAGGAAGCTGTTGGCTTTATAAGTTTGCATAACTTGACCAAAAATACCTTTTCTTCCCTGTCCTTCCGTCTATATCCCAGCCTCTCCACAGTGAAATGTCCCCTGCTCCTTTGCTCCCACTCCCAAGCAGTGGTAGTGGTGTGCCCCTCATAGAAACTATGGGGGATCCTGTGGAGGAACTTCGAGAGGCTGTAGAGATGCTGAATGACACTGTGAGGGAAAGAGGGCGATCGCAAAGCCATGATCAGGCCATCCAGGAACTGCTAAACAAGGTAAGCAAAGAAAAGCAAAGTTGTACTCATTTATCTCTTTAAAAGTGCTTCCTGTTGATTCGATCATGGGATGGCTGCACTGTTTGGTATGACGGCTATGGACGATGCTAAGCCGTATTTAAAATCATGGAGCCAAAACTGCATTTTGTGTGGTCGTGTTTCCAGGAATCCTCCCACACCTGATGGTTTTTGTCTGGATTCAATTTATTCTCTGTGCACATATCAAGATATCACATAAAATACACAGACGGTTGAAAGGGATTCCATGACACAATTTTAAACACTACTTTGCAATCTGGCTGTAACTGGAAAAACAGTATCATACACAGTAAAGCATGACTCCATGAAAAAATCAACTCATGATGATTTGTGCTTCTGTGCCAGCATGCCAGCCTGGCAGTGCGTGTGGAGGAGTGCTTATGTTGCAGCAAGGAGCTGAATCTGGACATCCTGGAGAAGGAGACAGACATGGCCATGCAGTGTGAGCCAGACCGATGTGGCGTAGAGGCTCTGCAGGAGAAGCAGGATCACCTGGAGGTGAGGGGAAGATACCCCCTCCTGTTGTGATTTTGGTGTAAACATTAAAAAATGACTGGTAATCACAACAAGATCCCATACTCTTGACTCTATGTGATACTTTTTTTTTATCTTTGAAATGATAACGGGAAACAACCCCCCCCCCGCCTCATAACTGCCTTACACTCTGCTCAAACACTCTGTTCCACTGTCTGTTTCCTGTTGTGCCAATTTTTCTCTCCCAAAAAAAAAAGGTCAGCCCACCCCGCTTTGTGCTGCATTTAATTTATCATAAAAACCACACAGTGATCGCACACACATACACACATAGAGCGTGCAAAAACTTTATTATCCACACAGGATATTTATTTGTGCTTGTGTGAGTCACTGTTCTGTTAACTCTCAGTGTGTGTTTGCATGTGTGGGTTTATGGGTAAATCTGGTTGGGTATGTATGAGCGTCCAGAGGTCACAGGATTGGAGATGTGAAGTCGGGGATGGTAAAGTTCTCTATGAGTCATTTTTGGGCCGTGTTGTGTTTATCACATGCTCACAAAACGCACACACATGCACGCAGCTGTCTGGACTTGATACGATTGAAGAGCAGTAATGACCTAATCTCCCAAACTGAAATAACTGTGCCGTCAGCACACAGGCATCCACAACACAGTGTTCTTGAGGCTTACTGTAGCTGAGAAACATTATGAAGTATGGCTCCCAGAGAGCGCTGAACGCTATTAATTACTGCCTCGTCAAAAGGAGCGAAAAAAGTGGTCAAGATTGCGAGCTTGCTATAGCGTGGCAGGCCATATGCAGACCATATGGGCTTCTCACTGAATAATATGCATAAAGCTATGGAGATGAGGTCATAAGCAGACACACAATTGATACAGGCTGTATTTATGATACCAGAATTGATGGAGAAGAATAATTTTTAAGACACCTTTTCCTGTGGATCTCCACAGATTGATTATGAAATCATCAGGGAGGAGGTAGAGGACATGGAGAACCTGGCTTCTCGGTTGAAGGAGGTGTGCCCAGAGAGACTGCACGTGCTCGGGGCAAAGATCCAGGCCACGCTGCAGGCCTGGAACGAGCTCGGAAAGAGTGTCACAGAGAACAAATCCCGTCTGCAAGAGTTTGTTCAGCTCCAGGACTTCTTCAGGAGCTACCTTGCCATGATGTAAGCATGATGTGAGGATATGGGGGACCCCTTTATGGATCGTGAGCTCTGTTGTTAATCCACTTTGTGAGAACACCTGCCCTTTACAATGCCTTTCAAAGAAAAGAACAGGATGTGCTCATTGTCAAGCACGGGTCCCAGGGGAGATGTGGAATTTGGGATGTGCTATGAAGGCTTGAGCAAGTTTCCTGGGTGTGACAGGGCAATGAATGTCTTTGCTATCACGAGGAGTCTGGCAATTCTCATGTTTTTATAAGTGCATGGTTCTTCTCACAGCCTTGTACTTTGTGTTCTCCCACCACCTCCGTTCCCCACCTGCCTCTCTGAACAGCTCGTGGACAGAAGACACCAGGTCGTGCATTTTCTCAGACACTGCCTTGCATCTTGGGAGAGATGGGCAGAGGCCACTGGCAGCAGAGCTGGACTTTCAAATCGAAAAAAAGTTTGAAGAGTTCGACAAACTGGCCATGGCTGGGAAGAATCTTTTAGACAAAGAGCACCACCTCATGCAGATGGTGAGCAGGGATACATACTTTGGATTCACCCTGATCCTAGTACAAATAGATGACTAACTGATTTCATCCACTTTTCTACAACTCATTCATATCTTGTAGGTAAGAGAACGCATGGAGGAACTGAGGAGTATGCTTGGATGGATCTCAGTGCACTGGAGGGCTCAGAAACAACAGTGGCTTTACAAAAAGAACAGGCAGGAGTCTTCGCAAGACAACATTTACTCCGAAGCAGTAATGTGTCCCCTGTTTACAGAGGTAAAAAACACATTTACTCCCTAAACAATCAATCTCTTAAGGTTATAATCAGCGGATTTCCAACCCAAAGGTCACTTTACCTCCCGAAGATTTATTTTATCAGACATGATAACCAATGCGTGTTTTACCTGTTTTTGTCTTCAACATCCCACATAGAGCCTGGCTCCAGAGTTCCAATCCCCGCAGTCCCATGCCCACATTGCCAACGTTTGGAAAGACACAACAAGTCCAGCCGATAGCCATCTCTCACTCCAGCTGCCTGAGCACACCGAGCAGCATGACAGGAAGCAGCTGGAGGATGGCTACGAGACAATGAACAGCATCGGACCTCAGGGCGACCCTCCAAAGGCAAATATCAAGGTGCTAAAGGAGAACAGAAGCCCACCAGTAAGGAATGCGGTCAACCTCATCCTCAGTTTTGGTAACACCAGTGACAGCCAGGTGCAGGTCTTTGACCGACCTGTTAGGCCAGACGAGACAGAGGAGACCTCAGAGCCTGTCCACAGGGTGAGAAGCACATTTAACACGAAACCAATCGTTTCCCAGCACATTACGATTGACGACATGTATTTCCTTTTAAAACCATTGAAACAAATAATATTTGCCCTTGTTCCTAAAGGTCAGAGCTGCAGCATTCCCTCTTTGTAACAACACTGCATGGGAGCTCCCTCCTTGACCGCCTTGCTGCTCATACCTCCCTTCGTTGCCTTTATGTCTTCCGTTTTCCTCATTCTCTCCCTTAGTTCGCTGTGCCTCAATCTTCTGCCTGTAAAAACTTTTGGAGGCGCTGCCAGGGGCTTTTGGAAAATACTTTCGGTAGTTTAAAGCGAAAGAAAAAGATTTATCGTCAAAGTGCAAACGAGGTAAATGGCTTAGTTTGAGCTGTGATTGCATGCAGCGTCTCATAGAGTGACGGGACTGCATGCAGTGTGCAGCTGTCGTCCGGGGGCTGCATGCTCTACTAACCTGCTGCAAGGTACAGCCAGTCCACCGTATGCCAATGCTGTTGCTTTCTCTGGAAATACAGGAAGTCATGCCAAAGTGGAGTCCTTTTGTACTGACACCTTCTCCAGAGCTAGTGAGGCTGGAAAATGCGAGAAAAGTGGACCAGGGTTTCTGTAAAACATGATTTTTTTTCTTAAAAGTCATAGACGTAGATCTCAATCAAAATTAATTCTCATTTCAATGAAGCACATATTATCTGGATACTTACACAATTGTGAACTTAAAAAAAAATATTAAAATGATGGGATTTTACTCTCTGGATCTAGTTGGACTGTATTCCTAAAGTCATTGTTAAGCATATCTTCACAATAGCACACATTCCAATCCTTTTGAGCAAGAGAATGTGTTTAAGCTCCAGAAATTAAATCCAAAGGCTTATGTATGTGAATGTGAGTTTATCTTTTCAGTGATCTGTCTGTCATCATTTTGCGTATTCAGCTTTTCTCGTGGTTCCATTCCCACGAGTAAAATCAGCAAGAATCAGCGTGTCTTTTTTATTTTCACTCAGCTTTTATCTGATATTTAAACTTCTCTTTTGGACAGGACTTGTTAAATGAGGCAGGGCTCAAACCTGAAAAGCACTGATGAAAGAAACAGAATGAGGTTAATGAGTAAGAACAGCACCGCAGTCCCCCCCCTGCTGTGACTGTTGACAGAAACTCTCTCTCCTCCTGACATTTCATCACAAGCCTGTTGTAAACCTGCTCATGTTTGATTCTTCGCAGCTCGGCCACGATTGTGTGAAATAAATGACCTCATCCTCACTTCCTATGAAAATTGTACTCCAAAATGGCTCCCAGCAGGAGCGTGTCCCAAATGCTGGTCGAGCTGCATTCATGAGGCCGAGAACTGGGGCTGAACCTTTTCAAAAGGCCCCCAGACTGCACAATGTGATTTATAGTCTGGGGCTTATACAGAAACAAGAGATTAGTCACAGAGTTGAAAGGTCAAGACATTACAGCTGCGTATGACGGCATGTGAAGCTACATATGATTTTGATTAAGCTCTGAAAGTCTGTAGTTGCAGTAATGCTCGTGTTCTTTTGTCTTTTCAGCAGATTTATCTTTTCTGGTGTTTTTATTCACATTTTCAGCTTTTTTGCGAAGTTTAAACATTTACCAATCCATTGTTTTCTTGAGCGTGTGGGATGACCGTCATAGTCAGTTTTGCTTTTGTGCCATAATCCAACTTTAACACATCTATAACACGAAAAGGCTCTTGTTCTCACCGAAAGCTGCAAGGTCTCAGCCAGCAGCATGCATGCGTCCCTCTGGGGTTAAGCATTTACACTCCTCTTCTTACAGCTAAAGAGGAGCTAGTTCATACGCACATGCCTAACATCATTTTCTCTCTTTTTATAGGTGAGTACCTACTTGCATGTCAAGGATAACAACCTGGCTGTGGCCCCTGTGTATGAGAGCATCACCCTTCCCCGCCAAAAGACCCACTCTGCAGCCCCAGGCTCCCCCACTTTGCTGCCGTCCTCCACCTCTCAGTCTTCCTCCAAGCCTGGATCACAGACGGCCAACATAAACTTCCATTCCTTGACGGGCAGCAGCACTAGCACCATCTTCAGCAGCCTCAAGAGAATGAGCATGAAGAGAAAGAGAAGGAAAGATGCTCGCCGACACACGATCCAGAAAATCATGGGAGGGAATGAGTCAGCCGATGGGATGCATCATTATGACTGCCAGACAGTCACGTACGACACGCGCACATGGCCACTGAAGGAAGGTCGAAGAAAGAAGAGTTCACCAAAGAGCAGAGATAACACAGAAGTTATGGCCTACATGAAGAATCCCCTGCTAAAAGATATAGAAAACGAGTGCTCGGGAGAATACAGCATTACCCCTTATGCTGTGTCAGCAGGGCCGACGGCTTCCCCCACAGACGGTCAGATGAGAAGCCACTGCCGATTCCTCTCTTTGGGCTCAGTGCTGAGCTTTGACCTGCCTAAGGACATGACCCTCATCCCCAGCATTCAGGACATCATTACCATAGCTCCTCCAGAGTCCAAGAAAGGAGAAAGGAAAGATCCCGACCCTCAGTCTCAGAGACAAACAGTCCTAAGCTCTTTCAGACAGGCTCGAGCCGCAATTGCCATCTCCCAAAGTTCTGCTGAGATCAGCGGCTCTGAAATAACACGCTCAGGACCGGCAGCAAAGGACCTGCCCCTGTCAGGTGTGGAGGAGGGTCTCCAGACTTTACCTTTTTCATCCCAAGGAGGAAAAGAGGATCTGAGTGTGCCGTTAGACAATATATCTGAGATCCGAATGATTCAGTGTGAAAATGCAGAGCAGGAGCTACACAAAATGTCATCAGATGTTGAACCAGTTGTAACTGAAAAAGTCAAAGCCGGCCAGCATTCACAGCTGCCTGTTTATGTGAATCAACCCCCGGATTGTACATCTATCACTCATAAACATGAGTGTGTTAGTGTCCATACGCTCATTAAAGATCTAAATGGACATCAGTACCATAAATGTACAAAATCTCAGGGCGTGTGCAGTGAGAGTCATGTATCTCATTCCAGCCAAGCTTCTCACATGAAAGTCAATCTGAAGTCAACAATGAGTGTCAGTGTCCGGCAGGACTCTGCCGACTCTGGTATCTCCACCTCAAGCAGTTTCAAGCTTTGCTCGGACGCTCCGTGTTCAGAGAGCGTGCCTCCTAAAGGAGTGGTGGGGAGGCTCGTATCTCTTGAAGTGGGAGGGATTGACTGCCCTCCAACCAGAGAGAACAATGTCACACCCACAAGTCCATCACCAGACTCAGCAGAGACAGAGCCTGTTCACCTGGACCACCAGCAGTTTGAGGAGGAAGAGGAAGAACTGGAGGACATTTGGAACCAAACTACAAATTATAGGCAGAGCATCTGCTCCGACATCATGTATCAGCCAAACCAGAGGGACTCTGAGGCCTTGAACCAGGAAGAAGAACCAGGATTCTGCTCACCTACAGATAAGAACCCAGCTGTGCTCTACAGAAACCAGGTCACAGCATCAGCACCCAACCTCCTCGTAGCTGAGTTCAAACTACCATCTCACATTCAGAGCTTGCTGGGTTATGATAAGGGACAGAGTCCCAAAGATCACCTTCCTCCTCTGGCTGTAGGAGACAGAAGATCCTGGGCAGCGTTTCCCAACAAGGAACCACACAGCAAGACTTCAGTGACAGTGAACGAGACCGCGTCTGATCGAGTGAAGCTCCCAGACGTAGGCGACAATAAGAGATACATTTATCAATATAGAGAGGAGGAGGAGGACGAGGAAGAGGCAAAGGTGGGGGAGGAGGTGGAAGAACACACAGGTTGCATGAAGGTGAGGTCCTATCAGTACTATCAGGTACTCTCAGACCCATGAGATTGTGGTACAATTTAATGAAAAAATCTATTTATTCACCTCTGCAGGCATGTTTTCATACAGATGTTCCAGTCAGGAATCATCATGTAAATTCCTTGCAATGAACCCATGCCACATGTTCTCTTCCCCAACAGGACGAGTCCATGAGTCTGTTGTCGCTTCATATGGGTCTAGATGGGACCTGTAAGCAAAGTCTGCAGGACAAAGAGGAGAAACAGGAGCTGGGGGCCACAGGGGGGCGCTGTTTCATCCTGGTGAGGCTTAACGGGAGACTGTGGCTCTTGCCTGATTTGAAATACTGCTGGCGTGCCTTATGGGTGTTTTTGAATGCTCTTTATTCAAACCCATTTAGAGCGGAAAGCCTGAGTTGCAGTCTATGGAGGGGACCCTTGAGAGGAAGCACAAGCTTCAGCTGGGGGGGAAGAAGGTAAGAAGAGATTAAACCACCACAGTCAGCAAATGTAAAGCCCACAGTCAGCAGCATACACACCCTTATCTTATTTTCACAGGCAGCCTCCAGAGGTTGGAACTCCTACTACGCTATCCTATATAGGCACACCTTATGCTTCTTCCAGGACAGAAAGGACACACTGCGAGTAAGCACACAGAAGCAAGAGATACGATTTGGAAGCAAGCAGTATGTGGTAACTCATTATCAATCTGTGCCTCAGAGTTCTGCATGTGGACTCCCACTGAACCTCGCCGGAGCTGAGTGTTCCCCTGCCCCAGAGTACACCAAAAAACCCAACTGCTTCCGATTACGGTAACAGTGTGGTAGCTAATGAATTACAGTAAAACTGTTTGACAAGCTGTACAGTCGTGAAGGAAGGCTGTTGTTTTCCAACCGGTGATTTGCAGTGCTAATAGATGCATTTTATGGCCTGCAGGCTCCGCGATGGATCTGAATACCTGTTTAATACCACTTCGTGCTTTATGATGAAGAAATGGATGAAGAAAATACAAGAAAGCACAGGTAAGATACAAATATGTCTAAGTTAATGTCACTACTGACTTATTGTACCACTGATTTTAATCATTTCTTGTTTTTTGTACAAAAGGTCAGAATGAGCCTAAGTCGTCAACATTTCACTTCCCTGTTGATAAAGACCTCTCCACTTCATTGTAAGACGATGGTCAAGGAGCTTGAATTCAGTAAAATGCTGATCATGCATCATTCCAACCGTTTTTCTATTCTTTTATCCCTCCAGAAAGTCCTCCGTGTGCTTTAAGTGTCACAGCCAATCCAAATGTCGCTGCTCCTCTCGTGATGTCACCCACACATATTCCAAGCATAGAAAACCGGGCGCCGCTCAAAACAAGGAAATTGTTGTTCTCACTAGAGAGCACAGTCACATTCCGCAGAGTTACCTAAAACGTTTGGATGAGCAGCTGTCCATCTCATCCCCAGATGCAGGTTGTTGCGGTAAGGCTTTGGGAAGTGTTCACCAAAATCACCTGGTCCACATTAATACCATTTCATTACCACACTCCCAGTGGGAGTAGCCCAGAGGGACTGTGAAATAGCCCCCATGGGAGCCTGGGTTACAGGGTCTTTTAATAAACCTGTTTGGTTTAAAGCATTTCATTTAGGTCTGTGGTGTTTCAGCCTGTTTTAATCAACCCACTGACCAACAAAAGAGGCACTTTCTTATACAGAGGGTACCACTAGGGGGAGCCAAGGCATTGTCTGAGGCATACAAAAAAAACACAGCATCACATGACCAAATGAAGACATCTGCCATGCAGTGTTTCAGTTTGCTGTAGCTCAGCATCTCTGCTTTTTTTATCTGATCCTCTCCAGATGATGATGGAGGCAGTTTAACGCAGACTGTGACTCACAGATTCGGAGAAAACTCCCCTCACCTCCCTCTATCCAGCGGTGAGGAATGGCTGAGCAACAAGCACCGCTCCCACTCCTTTACATCTGGTTAGCATGCATCAGTCAAACCAAATTCCGTCATTTGCAATGTAATTCATGGAGTGTTTACAGCATTCATTTTTCTACTCTTGCGTGTCCATCCAGCTACTTACCAGAAGATCAAACCCATGGCGCACTCCCCTGGAGGCAAATGTCTGGAGCAAGGCTCCAATTACTCTGTGACTCTGGTGGTTGGTGACAAGTCAACAGACGGCCCATCAAATAGCAGAAGTTGTGAGCCTCCACTGTTGGCCTTCTCTGGATGGCAGCAGGACACATATGAGGACTCTCCCCTGCGGGGCAGCGCTAGCCTGCCGCGGCCTCGCAACAAGTCTGTCTTCAAGAAGTTCTTTGGGAAAAAGGACCTCTGAGTTTGTACATATGGGTTTTACTTTAAGAGGGCTTTGGGAATAGTGCAGTGCACATATCAAGCAAAGCCCACCCTAAAAGAAAAGGGGCAAAAACCACCACTACTACTGACCATATTTATGAGAAAAACATGGCCACAGCTTTATTTTTAATGTGTTCGATTTGACTTTTTTACTTTTCACATGTAAGCAAAGGTAACAATACTGTATTAGTGTGCACTGTTTAGTGGTGGATTTGAGTCTACTTTAATTCCTTTCTGTTTTTTTGCTTTTCCCATTTGCGACTGGTGCATTATAAGGTCAGCTTCTCACCTGCCTGCTCTCCCAATATCCTCTTGGGTCTGTTGTATTGTTCCAGTTCCTTAACCACGAACGAGCAGTTTGATACTGCTTGAACTAATTTCATATAAGTGCTTTTTACACGCTAGCTGTAGCAAGAACTAAAACTATAAATAAACCACACACGAATAACAAAACAATAATTTGCCTGGGCGCTGATTAAAGATTTATTTTCCAAAACAGTTGTGATGGAAATGTCTCTCATTCAAGCTTTATTGTCTTCTTTAGATGCTTTGAGAAGGAAAGATAGAAGATGAGCACAGAAAGTAAATGCAAAGTTCGGCTAAGAACATTAACATGACATTAGTCTTCTTTTTGCTTGTTCAAACCCGACACCAACCACAGACATGATGTGAACATGCATAGTTATCATCGCATTTCGGCTGAGGAACCAGGAACCCTCTTCAGACATGGTTGCGTAATGAGTTCTAGCGTAAAGTGTTTGCAAAATGCCGCTGTTTAGCATTTCAAAATATTCATCGAATCCCCACAACATGTCTGAGACGGATTAGTCACACAGGAGAGGGATCAGGCACATTTAGGGGAACAGGAGAGCTGACAAAAGCCCACGTAAACAAATCATTCGCACTCTGAAAACTACTGGTGAACACAAACTGTTAGCTATTTCCATGTTGATGTAATTTGCAGTTATCGTTTAAGCCTTCAGAGCAGGTGAGCTGAAACCATCCCGGGGTTTAAAGAGCGCTGAAACCGGCTTGTGTTTTAAAGCAAATGAGACCGTCGTTGGAGCTTCAAACCCTGCATCCAAAATTGCCACTCTGTATGCAAAGTGGGTGTTGGTTCAGATGAAAGAGATTACGACAGTTGAACTGTCATTGTAAGAGCAATGATGCCTAATTGCCAGAAACAGGTGTTTGTTCGACAGCAGCTGAACGCACAATGCAGTGGTCCAACGAAACAAAAGCCCCACATCATGCTTCTGTTTACTCCTGGATTAGAAACGTGCCTCTGGTAACCATCAGTCACATTCTTGGGTAGGGGACCATTATCACAGATGGTTAAAAAAAAAAAAGAAAAGTTGTTTTGAACTTTTATTTGTTTTTTTTACTGCCAAAACAGTACATGCATGCACATAACAGCTACCATGATGAACAGAAAAGCTCAAATCATTTTGTGTTTGTGGTGCAAATTTGTCAAAAGCAACCAACAAGGGCATTAATCACGACCAACTGGGGATCTGTGAATCATTACTGAGAAACAGTAGAGCCGAATGCTGCATGACTCAGCCTCTAACTGTTCTACACAGAGCGCTGCACATTAGTTTGCTTTGTGGGGAAAATCCTCATATATATATAGGTCACCATTTTGTGCCACCGAAGTCATCTTGTGTTTTGCGTGCTCTTTGTGAGACAACTCGGTGGTTCAAAATGTCATGCGGAGTGTGACTGCCACATCTTGCAGCTATTTTCTGGTTAGGCGTTGACTACAAGCATGTGGGTGTTGACTTTGATAATGAAGACATCTGTGTGTTTTTCCTATCCGTCATGTTTGGAATGACAGCCCCATCCTGATGGATGCAGCACCAGCCCATCCATTGATCACCATGCCCCAGATCTTTGCGTCCTCTGTACCCTCTGACCTCTGCACAATCTGCTGACAGCTTCTAGTGCTCCCCTCGCAGCTGTGCAGGGTGAGGAGGAGGAGGAGGAAGAGCGGCCTTTCCCCTACAGACACTGATACTGACTATGCTAGCACGTCTCCGCACTCTGGAGGCTTTCTCCCTTGAAAGGGGTTATGTAGTGCAAGGAAATGGATATTCCTACTGCAAAAAAAAAAAAAAAAATACCCACACGTATCCACAATTTGTTGCGTTTTGTCTGTCTAAGCACTGACGTCTGGCTACATGACGCACCCTACCGAAGGTGAGGTAAAGTCCACGCTCTGTTTGGGGGCTAAGTGACTCACAGGGTTGCCAGTCAAAGAGATTCAAAGTTCACAAGAAACCGTCATCATAGTGTAAGTGGAGAGAGATGTCCTCAGGCCCTGACCCGTCTCCCGCTGTTGATGGAAAATGGTGCTTATGCCTATGGAGAGGTGATTTTTCCCTTTGCATATGAAGGATTTACAATGGGGGAGTAAATTAGTGCTTTCCCCAAAACACAGCTGACCCATCTAATACAAAAGAAAATAATTAATGGCAGAAGTTTGCAGAAAAAGGACCCGTTGCATGTCAAGGGATCTCTCTTGTTGAGATATATCTTGCTCAATTCTTTCCCTTAAGGTTTGACTTTGAGCCTTCTACCTGCAACAGTACAATTCAGTCATTTGCCACGCTTTGAAACCTAATGCTGTCTGCCCGGGGTGGCCCCGGGGAGCCCAGGAAAATGATGTAATGGGAAGAGTGGTTTTGGAACGATCAGTCGTGGGCAGCAAGGTGGAATAGTGGTTAGAAACACAAATCCAGTGGCCTCCTTTTCTGCAGCCTTCAGGTCCCACTGGACATTAACTGTCCAGCTGTCAGCATCGGCACAACTCGAGCTACGCTCATTAGCTCAGTGAGGTGTGGACTGGCAAAAGAACATTTCTCACCACGACGGGATGGTTGGACTCAGACGCTGGGCTTGGATTTATTAAACTCTAGTGAAGCGTCTAAAGCCTGAGAAAAGGCGGCTCAGTCTTCTCCGTCTGCTTAATGTAACGCTGTAAGTGGAGGTGTATGTAACAAACTGAGCCTGCTATATCTTACCATCAGCGTTTCTGGCAGGTGCTGTACGAATACTTGGTTTGTTAATGAGCCAAATATATTTCAGCAGCAAGGTCATTTGAAGCTCAGTTTCAGCTTTCCAGGGAATACATTTGAGCTTGCAGTGAACGGCTGCCATAGCCTACGCAGGGGGGCATGCAAAGCCTAGTGGAAAAGAATGTGAGAACTCACAAACCCAATCCATTGAGATTTGACCTTGATTTTAGGTAAATTTACTAAGTACTAACCATGCACGGGCTTTTGCATTGAGAATTCTGACATCACAGATGCTAAGAAGCTTACTTGACTCCACATCTTGCAGTAAATCCTACTGTCATCTGAGAAAACAGGATGAATTCTGAAGCGTGGCTTTTAGGAGGGCCAAAGCAGGCTGTTGTATAAAAAGATTTTTATCTGGTCGAGGGCTTCCAAGGCAATATATCTCAACACCCCCCACCTCCCTGCAGCTGTCAACGTGCCTCTTGGGCACATACCACAAAGTCGAAAAAAAATAAAAACAGGGGAGAAATTTCCTTATCTAAGCACCATCTCCACACCTAACCTCACCCCTCCCTCAAACCAGCGAAATCCCTTTTGTCCTGGATATTTGGTAAGCTCCTTGCACTTCTGTGTCCTCTTTGTAGGGGCCTACGCAGACATCTGGCCTACGGGTCCAGTGCAAACACATCTCTCGGATATGGAAATTGATTAACTTCATATTCACTCAAACTATTCTGCATGACCTTTCATGCAACACTACTCCTGCTTAGGACACATCAATACAGCCCGGTCCCCTGACAACAGCCCGTCTCTCCAGCTGCTCTACAGCGGCTGTGTGTGAGGAAACGCATGGTTTCTAAAAAAACATATCAGGCCTGATAATCTCAGGTCTGGAAAGCATGTTTTTTTTTTAACATAGGGTTGGACGGTCCTCAAATTTTGATCCCTTCATACCGTCTCAGCATTTTACCCCGGTTTACGGTACTACCGCGACGAATTCAAACCGATGATTTACGGCTCAGACAGCTGAGCGGTTGTCTGTGCGTCCTTGGGTTTGCCGTGTTTCCGTCTCTCGCCGTTACCTTCTTATTACATCGTTTACATACTGCCCTGTCAGTATTTACTGGCTCTCCCTTCCCGTTTGCTCGGAACCCGAAATATTGCCAAACTGCAGAAGTCGTGTTGTGTCACTCGGTGCGCGACTGTCACGCTGTCGCGTGATGACGTCACGTTCATCAACTTTATCCTAACTCACTTCTGTGACGGTAAAACGGAAAATTCAACCGCATAAAAGTACTGAGCTCACCTGACTTTCCGTCTGTGTTCCTCCACATCGCTGGAAAGTTTCGCTGTCCGAGAGAAAGCTGCTGTGAATGATAAGCACAGAACATGACAATGCGGACGGTATTGACGCTAATCACATCCTAACGCATCAGATGCGTCAGTCTACTCTCTGCGCACCCCTCCAGCTTGGATTGGCAAAGTTCAGTTCCTGTTATATAACCCATCTGCCGCCCTGCTGCTCACCTTCTTCTTATTATTTTTGTTTTATTTATTTACTTATTTATTTATTTTTAGCTCTTACTGTTTTTTTATTTATTATTATCTTTGAGTTTGTCTTGTGTTGTGGTGATGATTGTGTTTTATGATCTGCTCAAATGACCTGTACAGCGCTTTGATTTTAGCTTTGGCTGACTGAAAGCGCTTTATAAATAAAGTTGAGTTGAGTTGAGTTGAGTTCCAACCCACGGAGCCAGCTCCCTCAGCGAGGCCCACCTGGCCTAACCCATCCCGACCCACCTTCAACCTTTCCCACTGCCCACTGAGTCTGCGCCTACAACAACCACCCGGTGGAACATGGTCGTGCTTGCTCAGAAACTGGGATGGCGGTGTCCGTGGGTCCAGCGGTGGGTGCGTCAGCGGAACAGATGCTGGCGCAGCAGCAGGCCTGACGCGGACCGCAGCTGGCAGCTCTTTCTGCAGCCAAGCCTGACAGGTCACATCAGTTTCACAAGCAGCGCGGAAAGAAAAAAAACAAGCCCCAAAAGCCCCTCAATGTTTTTCACTTTGAAATGACCTGAAGATGCTGCTGCAAAAAAAAAAAAACTGGACTTAGCCAGAGGGGAAGTAATTAAAAACCGCAACACGACTGGCAGTCTGAGAGGGATCTGGTGCGCATGCATGGCGTCCACTGCGCGTCAGGTCAGAGCTTATATGACAACTAAACAGTTTTAGGATGAATCGGGCCAGCTCTGAAATGCACAAAAGCATCAATTAAAAGCTATTTTGAAACTTGGTGACGTTATCGTGACATTTCAAATCAGTGGTTTTCTTAAGTTGATTTATGTTTTTTTATGAATTCATTCCTTTTCTGGATATTTCAACCATTTGTTAGAATTGTATTTTAAAAAAAACGTTCAGGCTTATAACCCAACCCATGTATTTACATCAATCTAAGTGTCTTTTAGACTAGAACGACCAGTGATTCATTACGTCCACCTGCTGGGGTCAGATCTACAAACTGGTTCCCAGCATGTGCCAACCATTTCCCCAGCTGAAACTGGGAGGGCTTTTCTCGCTGCTCGCTGGTTATTGTGCTCTCGGGTGTTACAGCTGAGCCCAGTGGAGTTCACAGTATCTTTTCTACTGGCTGAGAATCCCTGCTGTGGTTGATATGCACACGACATGACAATATGGAAAGTATTGATGCTAATCACATCATAACGCATCAGCTGCAGCCCTGTCTGTGGCCCACCTGCAACCCTGCTGGAGGGGGGGGGGGGCTGAGGCTGCCTTCCAGTCCGGAGAGCCAGCCCCCTCACAGGGGACTGCTTGGCTACATAACAACCAGCTTTCAAAAAGAAGCTGTTTATTGACAACACACCCTTGATGGCTTTAAAGCCTTGGGTCATTTCAGCTATCAAAATCCTTTATAAAAGCATTAGGAGAAATCAGAGAAATCCTTCATCCAATGACTATTAACCCTTTAGTGTCATCTGATATTCTAACATGCATTTAGATTCCAATTGGTCACATGACGAAAACTAAACCCACTTTAAATAAAAATTGAGAAGAAAAATGCTGTCTTAAGCACAAAGAAAAGTTTTTATTTATGGTATTGTTCATGCAATGGATGAATAAACCATGAAAGAAATGCACAATGTTGCACCATTAAATATTGAACGATTCTCCATGGGTGAAGCCTCAGGTTGACTAGACAAACGCACGGACGGTTGCCAATGCAAATAATTCTATTAATAGAGAATGAAATAAGCAGAACACTGCTTAGCCTACACCTTTATCCAAAAAGGCTCCACTTAAACTGAAAAACCAAAATGATACAAGCCATCAAATGAGGAATGGCGACTGGACTCTATGAGGAACTTAAGACTCTGTCGTCTTTGACTTGGACATCAGGGCTTCTTTAAACATGAGCTGGAGAATTTCCCATCTGTGTTCCATCTGACAATCAATTATTCAGCATGCAATCCATTTTGAGGACATATGAGAAAGAAAAGAGAGAAACTGTGTACATAAATACATGCATGTGACACTCCTAACTCTTCCGGCATTCCGCCATGGCCCTCAGCGTACCGCACTATAGGTCACAACCCCTGTTGTTAACCCAACACAAATCCATTAAATAGTCTGTTTGTGTGATGTGTAGATGTGCTGACGCGTACAAAACCCGCTGTCAGCAAAAGCACCCACAGACTTCGGAGATTCTCCCAGCAACGGCCCAGTTTTCCCGTTAGGTCGTAGGTCTTAGGCATTCTTGTAGCGCTGGTAAAATGTCTTGTAGAATAGTGTTTCTGTTCTCCTTGGACACCTATGTGAGGAAAAAAAAAATGAGCGGGGGAAAAAAGAATAAAAATCAATACGGCGCTCAGGTGCTGTAGGAAATTTGCAGGGATAAAAAATTGGAGACAATCACCCAGCAAAAAACTAAGCCACTGAAAACCCAGTATCCACCTGAATGTCATAAAACTACAGGCTGTGGACACTTACATCCCTGACCTACTGTCTACAGGGGAAATCCTACTTATATTTTCAGCAAAAACTATTCATACAGTCTCAAAAGCCTCTTTGACACAGTATCTAGCCCTGCGCACCCCCTGAATGTTTTGCATGACAATGTCCCTAACCGAGTCTACGCTGTACATTATTTTGACATTTGAGACGCCCCTTTGTTGTTGAATCAGTCATGCATGATTTACTGTTAATCCTACCATAGCTAAGGGATAAAGCGGGGTATGCCCTTCTGCTCCCCCCTAACACCAAGTGGATACAGTGTAGACAGTGTCCTAAAGCTATTGTGGGACTTAACAGTTCCCAAACTGACCTAAATCTTGCCTTTTTTTCCCCCCCCGAGAGACGGCGGTATTATTTATACTCACAGTGAAAACCTTGACGTCTCTCCGGCTCCGCACCTCCTCGACCAGGCCCAGCGGTTTTCCTTTGGGGATGGGGATGGTTCCCATAATAGCAAAACAAGAGCCATCCAACGTCTGCCTCACCGCCCTAATGAATGACTGGCTGAAGAGCTCCATTTTCCCGATCTCGTCGATGACAAACACCTTCCTGGAGCTCCCATCTGCCGAACCCACCTGGAAGCATGAGATGTGCAAATGATAGATTGCTGCATGAATAAACATAAGTCATAATTTAGGATTTAACGGCACCGTCTGGGGCTCGGATTAATCGTTACTTGATAGCCAATCAATAGTTAATCCTCTGATGAATGACTTTTTCTATAGGATTTTAGGAAACAAAGACAAATGTTTGTTAAGAGTTAAGCTGAGCTGAGATCTGTGTTTACCAATGGGTAACCAGGCAGCAGAAGACCGAATACGCTCAATCCTAAGAGATGGAGACGATCCAGGATTAAAATTCATTCATCATCACTCAGTTTGTGATGAACAGTGATATCAGAAGTCAATAAGACAAGGAGGTTTAAACAAAAACTAAGAAAAGGCAACACACTTTTGGAACATTTAGGTTAAATGATTAAACATGAAAAACTGACCGTTCTCTGTATCTGACAGTTGCCTGATCAAACATCATATTTCAGTTAGATTAAAACACTTCTTGAGTGTTTTGAGTATTCCCGAGTGTTTGTTTGGTGGAAAATAGGATGTGACAGGGAATCCGTTTTGCAGGTAGACGAGTGGTAAAAGGTCATTGTGTTCCTGTCTCAGGGCCTTAAATCTCCCGGCCTATGACGATCATTGGATGTTAATGCTCAGCGGGACATCTGCAGTGATTGCACACATTGAGGATGAGATGAAAGTGAAGTATGTGCCTGCGAGGAGCAGACACCTTCCTTTAAAGCGCATGTGTAGGCGTCACTCCAGGCTCACTTTACATGTGGGATTAATCACGGTCAGTGACAGCCAGACGGCACCACCAACACTAAAAATGTCACTGTGGAATTTATGTGCTTGCAAGCTTACAATTATTCCATCAATTCTGGGAAATTCAAAGGTTTGATGATTTGTTAGTGGGGAGGATAAGGAGCTTTTTTTCCCCTTTTTTTTTAAACTGTGATCTATTGATGAGGGTGGCTTCCAAAGGCATGTGCAATCTTACGTTTCTAAAGAGGGGGAGAGCCAGATTTTCAAACGAAGGCAAGTCGACCACATACTGCCCCACAGTGTACTCCCGTCCGCCGTGAGACGCGGCGCCTCCATCTCTGCAAGCAGAAAGGAATTGTGCGGCGTAAAAACAAAAACAATAAAAGAGAGCATGTAGCTTGATTTAGATGGGATGACAAGGCCTTGACCTGATTCTGGACAGGTGGCCCCTCTCTCCTGTCAGGGTGACTACATCAAAGCCCACCCTCCTGCCTCCCTGCCTGACCTCCTCTGTGTAAAAGCCCTCCACTCCAACTCCTGAGGACACTAGAGCTTCACAGGCTTTCTGGACCAGAGTGGTTTTCCCCACACCTGAAAGCAAAACAATAGACACTGTCAGGAAATCCATCTACATAGACAAAAGAAGTAAACAGCAGTTTAGGGCTGTCTCTATTCCTGTGTTGTCTATGACTTGGAAACTAAAGCAACTTACAGTAAATACGTAACGAGACACTTGATACTTTGAAAGTAAGGGTGCCTCCCTAAGCAGCATTTATATACTGTTATTAAAACTCCTATACGAGTTGTACCTTGCTTTGCAACATAAACAACACTGAAGTTTAACACCTCTTCTTTAGGAATTGAAATGAGAGTAGCTGGCGAACTAGTGGATATTTATTGTTACTGTGACTACTGAAACACCTGGCACATCTGGCGGTCGCGGTTACCTGGAGGTCCTGTCAGGAAGACGTGTTTGTACGTTGCAGTTGACATCATTCAGCGACCCGAAGCAGCTCTCTTCCGCACACGTGCAGCTGACGCATGCGCACTGCGTAGGACATTTAAAACGTAGTTTTACAACAAATCCGTTCGTATATTTGTGAATGAAACCCTCTCATATGTTTAAGGGGAAAATAAGAAAAAAAATATATTAACAATAGTTGTAAAATTAGTTGTAGCGTTAAATCTCACATAAGGCGTCCTATTGTGTCTGACAAATCATAGATGTAGATAAACCAGTACTGGTTTATTTACTTATACGATATATACGCTACCGTCTGAAAAGAAACTAATTACCCAAGCACGTGAATAAATGTTAGAGTTAAAAGAACACAAAAAATATAGTGGAACATGAGGTAAAATCAAAGTCAAATACAAAAAAATAAACTTGCATGTTAAATTGTCTGCAAACAGAGCTAATGATAGATTTTCTGGTTAAACAGGTTTGGTGCATTTATGTTGTAGCCTGTACAGCCTAAAATAACAAATGGAGAAAGTGGAGGCAGTATTAAAAAAAATTATATAATAGCTTGTCTTTATTAAAAAATAATTGCCAAATGTTGATGGGCATACAAATTTGTGTCATTTTAAATTTACCAGATTTGGGTAATATCTTTTTTTTCTTTACATCGTGTAGCCAGGAAGTTTGTTGGCCACAAGCTCAGAGATATGTTTGTACTCCTTTCTAAAATCCAAAGATCCAAGTTCATCCTCTAGTTCCTCTGCCTCCTGAGCTTCAGAGGAGGACATGGATTCTGCGGATAATCTGTGGACAGAGTTTCTGTCCTCAGTGGACACACTCCTTTGACTCCTGAGCGTAAAGCTCTCGTCACAGGAGCTTTGCTCCGCTTTGTGACTTTCAGTCGTCCGCTTCCTGGAGAAGGCCGTGTGTACGGAAGCGCTCCCGTCTTTGTGGTCGTCGTCAGAGGAGAGGCTGATGGCTGAGCTGTGGACGCGGGGCCGGATGATGTGCGTACCCATCAGAGACCTGTGTGGAGAGCTGGGGGCTCTCACGGGCACGGGGAGGGGCGCTGGTCTCTTCTGCACACCTTCACATCTTGAGTTTAAGTTACTGGAGAGTTTAGGGAGAACGGGAGCATCAGACGTTTCGGCCTTCGGGGGCTCGGGGCTGCAGGTGGGTTCAGGCGAGCGGGAGTTGTCGGATTCCAGACTGTCAAAGTCATCAGCGTAGTCCGCTTCTGTTTTTCCTTCTGTGCTGGAATTTGAAAACCAGGAACGGGGGCTGCCGCCTGTGCTGCTTTGCGAAGATTCAATATTGCGGCTGTCCCTGTCAGATCCAGGCTCGGATAGATCTGATTGGCTCTGGAATTGTCCCCGGGGAACGCCGTCACTGTGAACAGCGGGGATGCGAATGCATCCCAGCTCTCTCTGAGAGAGTCCCGTCAGAACTCTGCCTGAGACACTGTCTGGGGTTTTTGGAGCTTCTTGTGGCTGCGACTCCACTGGGACGCTCTGCATCACAGTCTGGATATTTTCATTGAGGCCGGGGTTCTGATTGGATGCCTGTGTTCTTCTGCTGCCATTGGGAGTTTTCCGCCTTGGCTTGGTCTTCCCTTTGGCTTTCCCTGACTGAGCTTGATCACGCATTAACTCCACGCACTCGCGCCGTTTCACCCTGAGAGGAGCGATTTGCTTCAGCCGTAGGTTGAAGGTTTTGGTGGTTCCGTACACAAGCGTCTTCCTCTGGCATTTACTGGGCCTCTTATCCCCGTTCAAAGCATGTTCTTGGTTGTCTTTCAATTGTGCGGGGTTATATATGGGCGTAGAGCAGCTTCTGGGGGGGTGGAGGGACTTGGTATCAGCTCCGGTTGGCCGTCTGCTCTTGTGAACGGTGTTGATTTCTGGGGGCCGTGTCGTGTTTCCGCGTCCAGCTGCCGGCTCGGCCCCGCCGACCCACGCCTGACCGGGACGGGCGGCCGAGCACTGGCCGTGGCTTTGGCCACTCAACTGGGACAGCTCACTGATGAGAGCGTTTAACAGAGGCAGCTGCCTCAGAGCGTCCCTGAGGACGCGTGGGGTCGCCCCACTTGTCTCCGGGGCTTCTGTGTGTGTCACTTTCTGATGCACTCCAGGAGAACCGGAACCCTCAGCTCTCTTTACACTCTCCTCCCCCTCTGAGCACGAGTCTTCAAATGCAAACAGGTCCACGTTTGGATTGAGGGATGGGTGGGCCCTCTCCACGTGTGAGTTTCTCTCCTGTGCAGTGTTACAGAAGTAGAGATGAGGGGGGCGGAACACAGCTGAATCCTCCTCCAAATGGCTTTGACTTTCAGCTGGGACGCGCACAGCGTCGTCATCACCGTTGCCATCTAAGATTTTAGGCCCCGCGCGTCCACTGGTTCGGATGTCAGAGTCCGACTCGTCCACTTTGGGAGGACGGCCCGGAGGCAGGGACTCAGCGGATCTGTTTTTCCCCTTGACACGCTCTTGCTGTTGTCCTTCCGGCGCGCTCGTGCTTTGGGATGCTGTGATGTGTGGCAGCAAACTCGCTCCCAGACACGCCAGCTTGTAACTCAGAGACACGGCTCCGATTCTCTCCCCCGCCAGGTCGGAGACGCCGACAAGCCCCCGTTCTCTGTGGGAGGAAGCGTGGTGGAACCCACGCCGGCTCACATCCTGCCTGATCCGGTCCATCGCTCTGGACAGAGACACAAGAGACGAGCCGACCAATCTGGGGGTGTCCTCCGCCACATCCAGGACCATGACGTACAGGGGGCTGGTGCACAGGTGCGCGTGCAGGGCGTCCATGTTCATTTTGAAGAAGCAGCATTTGCCTCTGCTGAAGATGTGGTCCCCCACCACCTTTTCCTCCTCCTCCTCTTCCTCCTCTCTCTGCTCGCCGCTCCTCTGAGGCTGATAAATCAGCAGCGTTGGGAAGTCCAGTAATCGCACTCCCAGAGCCAGCTCATCTGAAACTTTGCAGCGTCTCTCCAGCCGGATGTATTCCACCAAAAGCTCAAAGGAAAACAGAGTTTCCGGATTATGGCCAGACATCATTAAAGCGGCTAACAACGCGACGACTAATCCTTAGGCTCGATCTAACAGCTTCCCACAGAGAATCCATGGAAACAAAAACAAGGGTCGCACGCCTTTTGCGTCACACGGCACTCCCGGGATGTCTGGGAAATGTTGTTTCAGTTATTTTCAAAACAGTTGCACCGAGTTGGCGTTATTAGCCTTTTGGACATTTTTGTTTATTTCTCGATTGTGTCTCAATAAAAATATATAATTCGCACTCATCAAAGCAAAACTATTTTTAGGAGCTGTTTTCGGCTTATTTTGAGGCAAAAGAAAAAAAACAAGGTTAGATAAATGTCGTAAAATGATAAATAACCCTAGCAAAACTTGGATAACAAATAAGGATGGCATATCAGTTAGATGGTTAAAAATAGCAGTTTTTATTTAATTTAATTTTTTGCATATCACCAGATGGTGCCACTGTAGGGCTTATGCTAAAAGAGTTCTGCAACCAAAGGCATTAAAGCCGCTTTGCTTTGTTTACATCAGTCTCGTTATTCACCATTAGTCTGGAGAAAAGCTTATCTTTCGTCCATGTCCACATGTAAAGAGATGACACAATGAAATGTCAGAAGAGTGCTCACATTGAGTTTTTCCAAGCGTGGGGTGGGCGGAGTCTTCCTGCGTGTTGTCATCACTGAGATAGGTGCTGGATGGATATCGCTATGGTCCGCGTTACTTCACTTTGGAGGCTGAGACTGAGAGGGGGAGATGTAGGAGCGAATCCCGCACAGCCTGTGCCCGCTTTTACATCCTAAGGATAAATAACGCCGCGATCTGCCCGCACAGGACAGCACTCACCCTTTGAGGTAAGTCCCGAATGTTTTTGTTTTTTTCTCCAGCTCCTAAGCCTAAAAAAACTTAAGGAACATTTAAAAAAAAAAAAAAAAGTGGGGACAGGCAGTGGAAAGTGAGGAATGATTCGCTGTGTGCCAGTACAGCGGAACGCGCACATCGCTGGGAACAGTGGACACAAAGGATAAAGTTGCCCCCCCCCACCCACCCCTACCCCCCCAGGCACCGACGCCAATGCAATTTCAGTGAGAGACGTAAAGTAACAGGAGGGTGTAATGTTTCAGCTGTTGTCTATCTATAGCTCCTGTTCATGCCCGTGCGTGAAGAGCGCACGAGCTATGTGCGCAACTCCTGTTTGGAAGCCCCAATACAAAGGGCCAAAGCCCCCCGGAGCACAGCTCTGTATTAATGCTCATTTCAGGGTATTTCAGCTTTACCTTTCAGTGATGGGTGCAGAGGCGGTGTGTGTGTGTGTGTGCGCGCGCTGGGGTCCTAGTCGGGTTGGACCCTTTTTGAATGAATTCTTTTCGTGGAGTGTTTCCCTGGAAACGGTGGGGGGCGCTACAGTCATCATCGTCACACCAGTCGTGGGCCATAAAGCCTCAAAGTCTCCTGAAAGTGAAGCCAGCAGCTCTGTTCTCACAGGCCATGTTTCATTTGGCCGTGAGGCCCAAATCGGGCGGTGTTTTTAATTATGTAAGCAAATCTATGTTGTGGTAGGTGTTTACGTGGATTTCCCCCCTCCCTTAATTATAAGAGTAGTGTATATGTGCTCAGACAAAGAACACGTTCACAGTTGTTTGGATCCTCACTAAATGATATGGGGCAGTTTGCTGGTACACACAGCCCATACAGCCATGCCCCGCTGCTGACCGCTCCTGGGGCCCACAGACTGTACTGTGTATTCCTCCGGGAGATCGAGTCCTACAGTGTTTGTCCTGCAGCACCATATCCTTTGCTGTCTTCCTGTAGGAAGTTTAGCCTCCACACCAACAAATTCCTAATAAAGGGAAATAAATAGGCTGCAGACACAACCAGGCGTAGCTGGGCGTTCGTGTAAAATTCCACGGCTTCATTTTCACTCCCGTTTTGGATTTATTTCCTTTTGGTTTCACGGCTCTCGTCCGAGCAGGTCAAGCATATGGAGTTCTGTGCTCCTGGAGTGTTAGGATCAATAAGACACCTTTATTTTTTCCCCAATGTTGCATGTCTAGGAAAGATTAGTTGTCTGTGTGGCTGCACTTAAGAAGCAGTGGGGCTGAAGCACGTCCATGGTCTGCTATAATATTCAACATTTTTAACATTTTTTTCCTTTGAAACTCAAAATGCTTGGCTAAATTCCAATTACCGCTGGTTTGCACATCAGGGATTTTTCAGCTGACTATTAACCTGCATAGGTATAAAGAGATATTTGGTGATGTGTGAATAATTTACTATTCCAATGCCAGTCTCATCAAGCTGTTTTCTTTCTGCCTCATGCACATCTGTATATCTTTTAATGAGAGCATTTTACGTTCTTCTCATTTGGATTCATGCTTTTACCCACTGAGCTTTGAGTAAAGCACAAGGCCTATATGAGCTTTAATTTAACAGGTTGTTTAATGTTTTTATGGAATTCTTTGCAATGCAGAGGGCAATCCAGATTGAGTGAAAACTGGATGAAAGATGGAATAAAGACACAAATGTCCCCAATGTGGATGAAAATCATTCTTCCTAGGTACCTCATGGCGCCCACAGCCAGCAGCTCGCTCCTAAAGGGAGACTTGCTCGGCAACCACGATAAGACTTTCACTCTGAGGCTGAATAGAGATCAGCCGTATTGTGCCTTTAACGGGGTGCAGAGAGGACAATGAAGAAGAAATATGTGCTCATGTATTTCTAGCAGCGTCTTCTGCATGACTAACCAGACAATGGGTAATTGAGCTGGATGGATATGTCTTTCAAAATAGAGTTTTGTGCATAAAGTGTGCTCAGCTGAACAATAAGGCACCTGTCAGGTCTGCAAGGGAATCAGCTTCCTGTAACATGCCCACAGGCCATATCCAGTTGTTATCATTGCAGAGCTGTTTAGGATGTCTTCTGGTCTGTGGGCACAGACACTGTCTACTAGAGTTACAGCTCCTGTCTTTTTTGGCGACAAAGATATTGGCCGTAAACCTATTATTGCTGTCATATATTTTTGCTTTCTTACAACTAGGAGAGGATCTGATTTTTATTTTACGTTGCGCCTCTCACACCAGGCCGACCGTAAAAAAAGAAGCTGCCCATGTGATCCTATCCCTTTTGTGTTTCTCTTCTCACGGTGCTTTTCTTCTGCCGTGCTGACTCATGATGGTTTTGAGGAAAACTAGTGGGAGAAAAACTGCTCAAGGTTTTGAATTCAAACCACAGTTAAAAAAAAAAAAAGAAGAATGATTTTTTATGTTGTTGTTGTTATTGTTGAGACAATGAATCTCTCCGTGTCAAACTATAAAGCCATGCCAAACCATGTGGCACGCCCATTTCTAACGGATCCCACATCCCATGCATGTGACAGGGATCAGGAGAACCAGATCTGTGCCAGCTGACCAGCTGAGTGTCTGACTAGCCGAGATCCACAATAGGCCTCCCCGACCAAATCCTGTTGCTTCAAAACCAACTCTCCGGCAGACAGCGGATCACATGCTGCCTGCTCCTGTTTTGAGAGGCAGGGTTTCTCCTTGTTCTTTTGTCAGCTTTTGTTTTCATGGCAGTCTGGAGTTCTGAAAGGGTTTAAGCCCAGTCATCGATGTTAGGGAAAGCACAGATGAAGTCATTAGGATAATGTTTTTCATGGAATTACCCCTTACTTAGAGTGTTTGTAATGCATGTGGATGCATTGCTGAGGAATGTTCATAGCCCACAGAGTGCAGGCAAACACTTGAAATAAGCCTCCCTTTTAATTCAAAAAGTCAAATGAGTTGCAATGGGGAATCGCGTAAGAGCCCTGGAAATATTTGCTCACTCAGTGCTGACAATACGTCTCACTACTGAGAGATGAAGAGCAACTATATTATCCCTCTGCGTTATCCCTGTAGAATGTTGGAGAAAAAAACAGCCATGGGAAGTCCTGCTCAGAATGCGTCAGTTGTCTTTAAGTCATATGTAATTCTTTATCCGTGCTGCATAAATAAGCAGCGTGCAGCGGTATTGAGATGCCATGTGTGGCAGCGTGCTCAGGCGCTCGCACGTGTCACCATTTATCTCCGGGCGCAAGAACACCCATTGACCCTTTTGTGGACCCATATTTTCACCCTTTATTTCACAGGTTTAACTGAGATGTCACAGTGCGTGTCGGGGGGATACATGTGGCTATAAACTATTACGTGCCACTTAGCTGATTTATTGATTGTTTCTATTTAGTAGATCGATGTTTCCTTGAATTTTTTTTCTTATGTTTTCAAGTAGTTGAAATGGATTATGTATGGATGATGTATTTAATTCAGTAGTGTGGGGTGTTATTGTTGTAGAAGTAGATAATCTGTGTGTCAGCATCTTGTTAAACATCTTGTATCTTTATTTTTTCAATGGTATTTGAGGAAAACTGTTTGATTGGAAAAGGTGATAAGATGACAGATTCTGCATAATTACCTGGAAGAACATTGCCAACCTCTGATGACACAGAGCAGGGCCGTTGAGGAGGTCGGATATATGGAGCTGAAGGTTTGAGTCTACTGAGGAATGCATTTGCTGTCTTTTCCTGCCTGGGCTAATTCAGTCGGTTTGTCCGCATTGTGATGAAATGCCAAAGAAAAGCACATCCCAGCTTCACTTTCAACCAACCAGCACATGAGCAGCTGCATGTGTAGCGTCATCCCTGAGGACTAGACCCTGTTAGCTTTTCAGAGAACTGCATATGAATCAGCCTGTGTTGGTTTTGGAAAACCAAAATCCTTCACTCTGCATGGGGTGAGATTGACCTAGATGTATACCCACATGTCAACATAATCAAGACCTCAACCGAACAGACTCTGGGCAGCTAATGATATTAGCCAGAAAAAGGGCGCCCCTATTATCCTTTTGAAGCTATTTTGAAGCCCTTTAATTTCAGTGAACAGTGACAGTGAAATTTATGATGCCCCTGGCGTCACTGATGTGTTCCTGGTCATAAAAACAAGACGGCCAGCTTAAACCAGCATGAGACCTTTTGTTGACCAGTTGAC